CGCCCCGTTGGTCCCAGCTCCGCCCGCCACCTCGCTTCGGGCTTGCAGTTGATGCTCCCGGGGCCGAGGGCGCGGCGCTTCGCCGCGGGGAGTTGCTGGGGCTCTGGTCGCGCGACGCGAGGACTGATGGATGAACAGAGAGGCGGCCCCGCGGGGCGCGCGCCCCTGTCCAGGCCCAAGTGCAGAGTCACCCCCGGAGCGGCGCGTCGGGTCCAAGTAGGACCCGGAGCACTCCCTGCGCCTCCCACCTGCGCACCCTCGGCGGCTGGGAGCACCTTGACCGTGTGCGAGACAGTCGACCTCGTCCGCGACCTGGAGGAGGCAACACCCTCTTGAAAGTCGCGGCTCAGGCGACACTGTGAATTTGCCGGGATTGTCTTAGGAAGTATCGAGGCCCCCAAGTTGTTTTCAAACAAAGTGCGAAGGAGGAAACAGCCCCTGGTCCTGCCTCTTTACCACCAGCCCCGCTGCCTTAAGACTCCTTGCACAGTGCAGAGCAAGATTGGTTTACATTCTCCGTTCCTCGACTTACCAGGTCAGAAGAGGTGACATAGACTGAGCGGAAGGAGGACGAGTCGGGCCCCCTTGCCGAAGACTGGAAGAGGGGGTCAGAGGGAGATGACTTGGGCCGAGGTTGAGGAACAAACCACAAACTCAGCGAGGGCAGCGTGTGGTCGGGAAGGCGTCGGCCACCCCTCTGCAGTGAGCGAGAACGCTCAGTGAATCGCCCGAGGAGAAATGGGAAGCTCGGGGACCCACCCCCGCGCTCCCCCTCCCGCCCCCGAATTGCAGATTTTTAAGTTGTGCAGACTTGCAGTAATTCCTCGGAGCCAGCTGCTCCAAGCTGTAGGCGCCCAGTGTTCCCTGGGTTCCCGCCCCATATCACGCAATCTGCCAGCTGCCCCCAGCCCAGTACCTGCCGATCGCTCGCCTCAGACGAGAAGGACCACACATAGTTAAGTTCCAGGCCTTGAGCCATGCACACGAGAGGGGATGTGGGTAAAGGGACGCACGGAAAAGGGGAAAAGACTTTCTCTTACACCGAGGCACCCGATGGATGGTGTCTGGGTTTTCTCATTGTTTTCGTTTGATGGAAACCCACAGTGGGAGTTAGAGATAAGGGAGCAATGCTTACAGTATCTGGTAGGCTTTTAGAAGAAGCTGAAACCTGCACCTTACAGGGAGGTCTGGTTGAAGGGGTGGGTAGTCGCCATCAGGGACGGCATAGGAGAACAGAAAACATCTTCTTCCAGCACGTTCATTTGGCTCATGGACGGCCAGGTGGGGATGCAGATGGCTGCAGAACAGGTGTTTGGAGCCCCTCTGACCCTGGTCCCATGCTTCTTTGTTTCCATAAGCCTGCCCCTCTCTTTTGGAAGAGGATCTAAAGCATTTGTCTACACTGCTGTTAGCAAGCGCCTGATAAAGGTAAATTTTCATACATCATTCCTCATCTTTAGCATAAAATCTAAGATTATTCTAAAAATGTTTACATCATAGCAACACCTGAGAATACTCCCAGATCTGTCCCAGCAGTTGGTAGTGTACAGTACAATACTCCAGTCATACAGGAACATACATATATTCGTTTTCATATTCTTTTCACCATGGGCCACTACAAGATATTGAATATAATTCCCTGTGCTATACAGTATAAACTTGTTGTTTATCTATTTTATGTATATTAGTTAGTATTTGCAAATCTAGAATTCCCAATTTATTCCTTCTCATCCCCTTCCCCCCAACCCCGCCCCGATACCCATAAGTTTGTTACTTAATCATTTTTAAGTCACCAAGTTTATCCAAAAAGTCTGGCATTGTTTACTTGAGAATGAACTATGTTTTGAATCCCTAAGCACTGCAGAAGGCATCTGCAGTGCAGAAGAGTCAGGAACGAGGTCCTCATGCGGTCTGGATGGCACATGTGAACTGGAGAGAAGGCACACATGGGGGTCAGAAAGGGCCCCCACTTGGTATCTGTGAAGTCTGGGGACAGAAAGGACAGGCCTCCACTCTGGGCATATTTGGGGGAGAGGGTGGAGGGGGCACAAATGTGAGAGACAGACAGACTGGGGTTCTCATCCTGCTGTATGTACCCTGTGGGGAGCCCTGGGAGCAAGTCACTTAGCTTTTCAGCCCTGGTTTCCTCCTCTGTTAAGAAAATTTTCTCCTTCAGAGGGTGATCATGTGGAGCAAATGAAATAATAAACACGAAAGCACTTCGTGGACCATAAAATATATGTCTGTTCCCTGAAAGCTTACCAAGGTTAAGCCAAGCCAAGTGGTGAATGCACTCCTACACACACACACACACACACACACACACACACACACACACACACACACGCATACACACACAGCCACACCCTCGCCTCTGTGTCTAGAATCCTCTCCTCTGACCTCAGTCTCCATTACCACAATGCATGCTGGGATCTCTCTGACTGCCTCCTTCCTCCCACCCCATCAAAATGTCTTTACACCCCATGATAGGACACCCCATATTTCTTTCACTAACCACGCCCATAGGAAAGCATCTGGACAAGCCATGCATTAGACTGTGAGGGGTTAATCACCAGCTGCTAATAGTCCTCACCCCTCCATAGTTTCAGAGAGGACTCCCAGACTCAGTGGAGGCATCTCAAGCAAAGGTGGGATCTGTGCAATTCGTGGCCTCCATATCAGCTAATCTTTTATTCAAACATTTATTTTAATTGTTTTAATTTGTTTTATTATTTTTTAACAGAGGGACTTGGGATTGAACCCAGGACCTCGTGCCTGCTAAGCATGTGCTCCACCACTGAGCTATATCCATCCCCCAAAAAAATTTATTTTAATTTTTTAACATATCCCATAGGACCCCATCCAAATCTTCTCCACTCTAAACCCTGGAATGTCTCCATCCCAACCCAATCTCTGGGTCTCATCCTTAGCAGATGACCTGGTCACCTAATGACTGAGAAGAAAGAGACCATGAAGGTGTGGTCCCTCAACTTCCATCTTGTCCACCTTGAACTCTGTCTGAGGCTTCATGCATCTTCTCTTTTTCTCCTGCTTTGAGGAAGGATGCTTAAGCCCAAGTACTTTGGAGAATCAAAATAATGCTGACTGAGAGAGCCAAGAGGACAGAGAAAGAGGGCTTTAAACACACAGGTTTCAGAGTTGCGTCCAGGCTCGCCCACTTACCACCTGTGCTACCTTGAGCATGTGACTCTACTTTCATTCATTAACTCCTTCAACTTGCACTTGAAGGTCTGCCGAGTGCCAAGTGTACTAAGCACGGCTACAGTTTAACCATATGAAACAAGGTAATAATAATGCTCACTTAAAAGTGTATGATGAGGCTTTAGTGCCCCACCAAGCACAAGAGGGAGTAATAAACATGAATTATCATCCACTTTCCTTTCTGTCCCTCAGTACCCATGCTCCTATTCTGTATATAAAGGGGAATTTCTCATAAACAAAATAAATTCCTAGTTGGATAATGAGGAGTATCAGTATAAATCCCACATAAACTTCAAAGCACACCCTTCTGTTCTCACAATAAATTACTAGGTTATGAGTGACTAATTGAGCGGCATTCTCGTCATGTGTAAACCATCCCAGGACAGAGTTTCCAAGTCCTGCCAAATGATGACAGGCAGGATCCCTTAGGCAAGGAGCCTGGCAACACGTCTTCCAAATCTGCTCTTCTTAACAATCCAAAGAGCTACGTTTCTATTCCCTTACTCCCCTAGTCAACAAATGTTTTCTGAACATTGACCTCATACCTGGTTCAGTGCAAAGACCCAGGATTATTGAACGTGAATTTCAAGGACTCAGATTCAGAGCTGCAAATTTTTTTTTATGTTCTTTATTTCTTGCTCATTGACTTCACTCTTAAGAATGCACATCTGCATGGCCACAGAAAACAATCCTGGTAATTCCAGGAAAATCTGGTGATTCCTAGAGTAAAATTCTGTCAACTCAGGCTCCTCCCCTGCCATCTTTCCCTGATCCTCTGAGGCCTCTGTGATCCGTGGAGGGTTGTGTATCATCCCAGCAGTGGGAATAAGTGGAGTAAAGTCTCCACAGTAGGCCTCCACTGGGATGGACTTCCCACTGCTTGACGTCCATCTATCACCATCATCACTCATCACTGGTCTCCATGTTTTTGCTGGACCCTCAGTTGTTGTTGAATGCATTCTGCTCCCTCATGGTTGTGGCCCTAGTGCGTTGGGGCCAACACCCCACTTACAACACTTCTGCAGTATCCCTGCAGGATTCAGAAACTCCCAGTCCATTTTCCTGCACTACATGGGCCGGAAGGCACCCTGGAAGGTACACATAGTCCCACGTGCTGGGACAGCTCACTCAGCTGCCACTAATCTTTGGCTTGAGCACCATGCTGAGAGCACATATCTCTATGTGGTTTTCAAAAATGGATACTGGTATCCTTTGATCTCAGATCCTTCCAAACTCACCTGGGACACCCATCTTCCTCCCATTCTTAGGGTTTTTATCAACTCTCTCAGATCTAAGTCCCAAAGGTCTTTTTATCATCTGATAGCTTTGCTCTCTCAACTCTATGCAGGTAAACTGGTACCTTATCTACGCTCTTTCCCAGTCTACTGTCTGTGCCAGAACCTCGGCTCCTGAGCTTCTGTAATGAATCTCTTTCCCTGGAAATTATCGTTATGGGCTTTGAGAGCCTATTTTGCAAGTCAAAAGTGAAACTCTGACATTTCTTTCTCTCTGCATTCTTGTAACAACAATGCTTATCCTAGCCTCTGACTAAATAGGGGAAAGACTGTGAACACAAAATGTGGAAGGGAGAAGCACTCTGATTAATATGTTAAAATATTATCTCACTACAGATACATAACCGTACATGGTCCTTGCCACTGAAAATCTCACGGTCAACAGAAAATTTTCACCAAATGGCAAGTTAGGCCAATTGACCAGATTCAACACAAACTCCAAAGATGGGCTCTGATTGGCAAAATTGGTTTGTAAAGTAACCCATAGATCCAGCTCTAGCCCTAACATCTGTGGGCCAGGACAGGGGCACAGATCAACGTCCCCAGACACTCTTGCCTTCCCATTCTGGTTCCTTCCAACAGCATAAGGGAACCTCACTCTCAACCGAATAAACACACTAACCCACTCATCCAACACATCTACAAGGCCTGCTTTCAGAATAATTTTCTCAGAAGTCTTCTTATCCAGAGACCACGTTTAGGTTAACGCCTTGGCTAGGTGGTCCTGTGGACCATAAGGGAGTGTAAACATGAATCCCAAACCTGACTGTCAGAGTGGAAACAAATCATTTCACCCAAAATCCAAACCAAATCAGACAAGCTTTCTTGTCAGCTCCATTTGCCAACAGGTGGACTTTTTTTTTTCTTTCTAGCCTTTTCCTACGTATTTGTCCTTTTATGAGTCCAGACTTTGTGCAAGGGTGATAGTTAATTTCTGCAATCACTGGATTTACAAGGTTGATTAGAGCAAAAGGTGGGTGGGTCTTGGAGAATGCCAGGGTGATTATCTTTGCTCAAAAAAAGAGAGTAATTGGGAAGGTGGTCATAGCTCAGTGGTAGAGTGGGGTTCAATCCCCAGTACATCCATTAAAAAAGAAATAAAAATTATTGGAAAAAAGAGGAAAGAGAGCAATTTAACAACATAAGGATGGAGACATATGTTTGGACATCAGCCACTGTGTCCCAGGGCTCTGTGTTTTAGCAGGTGACACATGTCTGGGGGAGGCGCTGCGGCTGGTTTGTCAGGGTGGTGGTGGCGGTGGCTGGGGCAGCAGTTATGATGTAGTTGCTGTGTTTCCGTTTTTTGCTTCCTGGACATCCAGAGTGCCCTTGATTCTTGTCCACTCCCAGTGTAATCTTCTGGGCTCTCAGGAAGTCTGTGAGCTCCCAGGAAATTACTCTTTGATTACATTTGTCAGTCATTTTTCAGTTGTTAGCTGCCAGGAACGCGATCAAATTCAAATACCACCAAAAAGGCCCGGTTTTTTTTCCCCCGGCTTCTCTGCCTCTCTGAATCTTCTCAAGGAACAATTTGCCAGCCTTTTATTCTCCTCCAGCTTGGGCAGGTCTGAGTGACATCCTCTCCTGCCGCGGTGACATTCCCAGGCTGTCAGCCATGCCCCCTTCTTTGGGAGACGGGTCCCTTTGCCACTCCAGATTGCCCAGGGTCTTCATTGCAAGTGATGCCGATGGTCTGAGAGTGGGTCTGGCAGGACAGGAGACCTAAATCCCCGCGCTTCCATCTGGTTGATGACAAAAGAGAACATTAACATTTGCTACAGCTGGAACCCAGGCCTGCCCCCAGCACCCCAACTCAGCCTTGATGTAATTATAACTACCTACTTTATTACTAAGAGCTCCACACTGTGAACGGGGTGTTGAGCTTTGCCTTCAGATTAGCTCCACAAATTTTGCCAACACCACAAGTGCTCCTCCTCCTCTTTCTCTGGATAGAACGCCATTTCCGAGCCTTTGAAGCAGGCATCGGTGTGTAATACGAAAGGCTCGTTAAAGTCAGCAGACCTCGATGTGGAATCCTTGTCTAGCCCTTCGTTGGAGTTCAGACCACTTCTCACAGACCTCAGGTCATCTCTATCCCGTGCAAGCGCAGAGGCTGATGCCCCCATCCATCCATCACAGCCCTGCAGGTGCCCGGGCAGTCTGTCTGCTGGTGAGAAACCTGTAATCCTAACTTACTCTTTTCTAACTGTCCAAACTCTCTTCTGAACACCACTCCCAGTGAATTCAGTTCTCTTGGATGGTGAGCCCGGTTCACTTGGTGCTGGAAGAAACCTTTACAGCTCAGAGCTCACTCCCAGGTAGAAAGCTGCCCAACACTTACTTCTCAGAGACCCTGGAGAACTCACACTTGTCGGGAAGTATCAGCTCTGGCTCCCCAGGGCAGGCTACCTCTCAGAGGACCATTTCTAACAGCCCTCCAACTCCTTCTATATAAAGTAAAATATGCAACCACGATCACACAGCGAATATTTGAGAATTCATTCAACCAGCTGCTAGAACAGGGCTAGCACTTTGGAGAAGACCAAAATGAAAAAAAAATCATAATTATCATCTCAAAAAAGTTGCAAGGCCGTTCCTTCCTTTTCGTCCTCAACCATGAATTCATCCAGTGATACTCACGTCTAAAATCTAACCCTGAAAACCACTGACCAACAGCCCAACACACTAGGGTATTCCAAACGTGGGTGTATTTTTAATCCATTTATTTAGTGTCCAGTAAGTCATACACATTTTAATTTTTCAGATTTTTTTTGTGCTCTAATGTGAATAGAGATACAGACGAATTTAAGGTGTGCATATAATGTCATTGATTTCTTTAATATGCTTCCTTAAATCATTACTCTGTGACACAATGGTTCTTTGGGAAGATTCGTCTAATTTTGCACAGGACATATTTATACTCAAAAATTTAACGGAATAATACATATATACACATACACACACCTGTATCAGC